CTTCCAACTTGTTCAAGTCACTTTCACCTGTGGAATAAAATCCATGGTGCTGAATTGATGCTTTGCACAGCGCTTGCTTGTTTGTTCTAGGAAAATTTTAATTAAATCTGACACCTATGATCAACGTCAGATTTATTATTCATAAGAAACCATAATTGATAATCAGGAAAAATAATTTATTTTTGTGAACCCCAGGGATCTGGGTAGACACGCATTATTAAAGCTTTGTTACTACCTGGGTGATGCAATTGTTTGTTATGTCAATGATGATATCAAATGTATCACATAATAATCATGAACATCATGAATATTTGATGGATGGAGGCATTCACATATATGAGGAAAGGATTAAATAACAACAAAAGGCTAAGTCATGTTTATTTTATCCAACCAAGATATGTAATTAATTATATTTAAAAGTAATTATTTTATTCCACTCTTGCAATGAAAGGTATTATTCTGAAATCATTTGTTTATTTAGCATTAATGATTGAATCAATTGCACAGGTGGTAGTCAATTTAAATGGCATTCATTTTTTTAAATGTGTAAAAATTTTTTAAAAGATGTTTTTACAATAATGATTTTTAATATTGTAAAAATTTTTTTTGATGAATGTAAATCTTTATTAATATTAATAAAAAATCAGGAAACATGAAATTTTTGCACATAATTATTTTTCATGGGGAAGCTGACCAAATTTTCAAATTTCCCTTCACAGGTTACTGAACAATCATATTTTTTGAATCATTTACCTAAAACTATTCCATTGATTCATCTAAGTTTAATTCCATTCATATACACAGTGGGTCTCGATTTAACGGACCTCGATTTAGCGGATTTAGGGGTTTAACGGATAAATTTTCAAAACCAAATTTTTCTATAATTATTTTATCTCGATTTAACGGATTTAACGGATTTTCATATATATTCGATTTAGCGGATATTTTTTAAAAATCCATATATGTCACTTATAATAAAATTCTCTCGATATTACGGATAATGATGATTCTTGCCTTTTTTGGATAGCCTAATTTTATAAGTAATAAGCGTATAATAAAATAAGTGTAATGATGTATTATTAATATTAAATATTAACAACATTTTTAATCAAACATATTGTCAACTATTTCTTGGCAATGACACTTGTATATAATGTCTTTTTTTTATTTATTTAAATGCTGACGAATTTATTATGAAATGACAGAACAAGAAACTGTAAACATAGTGTTGGGGCAATCTGAAGTTAAAGATAATGAGGGTGTTGATAAGATAAGTGAGCCAATTGTAACAAATACAGAAGCTATAAATGGTTGAAAATGCACTTAAATATATACAACAAAAATATTTAGAAGTTGATCCTCAAATAATTAAAAATATATAAATATATTGAAGTTGAAAAGAGAAAATTTCTTATAGAAGCACCCAAGAAGCAAAATAATGTTGCATTGATGAATTTATGGGTTGACAATGATATTATTATTATTATTATGTTATATTCTGTTTTTTATGTATATACAAAATAAAAAATTTTTTTTTGTATATACACATTTAATTTGTATCACATGATTTGATCATAAGTTTCAATTTAGCGGATCTCTCGATTTAACGGATAAATTTATTGGAAAAAAATATCCGTTAAATCGAGACTCACTGTGTATATATTAATAAATTATGACTCGTGTCACATGATCTCGTGATTTGTACAACTTGCTCGATTTTGCGGATATTCCGATTTAGCGGATAAATTTTTTGGAACAAACATATCCGCTAAATCGGAATTCACTGTGTATTATGATACGCATGACCACATATCAAAATGTTTGAATTACAATCCTCTCCAATATTGCAATCCTCATAATCACACTTAATATTAGGATCTGGTGGATTTGATGTATGATACCCTGAAGGTAATGTACAAAACTGAACTTCCAAATTAAATGTTGGTAAGGTATATGTTTTCTTTTTGCCCTTTGGAATTACTTGCTCATTATTTTTATTTGCTAAAATTTTTTGGAAAAAACCTAATAAAAATACTGCAGATTTTTTAACCATCATATCAATCTTTTTTTTTGTATATGGATATTTTTAAAATTTAAAAATGGACTTAGAAATTCAGAATTATGACGTTTGAAATCTATTGTTAAAGCATCACGTCATAAACCATCTGGATTAAAATTTTTTTTTGCAGTATTTCTATGAACCAAACTATGAAAGTTTTCAATAAAATATTCATTAAATTCTGATAAATGTTCCTTCAGGATATCATACATAGGATGATCTATAGTTAGCCAATAAAATATATCAGAAAGAAAAGCAATCATGATTTTGTCATAGTTTTTTCTTTTAAATCTCATCATTACCATCCATAATCTAAAAATTGTTTCAATATATTCCTGAAAATGGCCTTCCCTAAATAATATTGCGTATACATCCAAGGTAGAAGGAATAAGACTATCTAATAATTCTAGAAATATTTGGTATTCAGTATTTCTAATTGTTTAAAATTTTATAATAATATGTTTTCTTATAATAGACCATCCTGAATGAGCCAAATGTAAAATCAAATTAATTATCCAAGGTTGTGGTGTTAAAGAAACATTTCTTTGTCTTTGAAATATATCTTTATATAAAAGATTGAAAAATGGATAATATTTCTTAAATTTAGTTTCTCTGGTATTAAGGAAACATGAAGAGGGCCTAATAAAGGGACAAATTTGATGATTTTATCAGAAATACCTGAATTTTCTTGATATCTTTGCCTTAGTGTAATTGCTTTCCGTATAAAGTATTGTCCAGGGTAGTCAGCTGGAACTGGAATAATAAATTCAGATAAGTAATTGTCTATTAAAGGTATTTTTATAAACAAATCAATCGAATTTAAATAATCATCTAAAGATTTTAATTCTTGTGGAATAAAATCCACAAGTTTAACTGTATCCATTTTACGTGTTTCTATATGATTAATATGTAGATCTGATTCGTAGTTATGAATAGTTAAATGATCAATTAATGAATCTTCTGTGAGATTTGATGAATCACTTATGCAAAACCATGATGATTTCCTTTCTACATAACTAATTCCAAAAAGTGAAATATAATCA